TGAGAAAAACTTTTACCTTTCTTCTAATTCTTTTTTGTGCCTTTACTTCTCAAGTCTTATAGATAGCATGTACTTGGTCCTTATTTTGAAGAAATGCAAGGCTATAATAGCCAAAATATTCATTAATCTACACAGCTAACTATTCATGATTCATATATAGGTATTTTATCCTTCTCTCTATTAATCTTTAATCCTTCAATACAATTTATCTTCATAGCCTCTTTTATTATATGCATTGAAGTATATGCTAATGCTTGATGACATTTAATAAGTATATAATTTGAAATAGATGAGGTAAAAATTGTGGCAAGTTCTTCAATTTCACAAGGTTTAAGGTAAGCTTTACTTGCTAATGTATCTTGTGTACATAAGTTACCTAAAGATAGAATCCAATCGACTCCATTGACATCTAAGTTAAATTTATAACCTTTCTTGTATGAAATTGAAATTAATAATAGAATATCACATGCTCCAAGAATCCAATGGACATCCTTCATAACTAGAAGAGTGTGTTTTTTTATAGGGCCTAAAATTGTGAAATACATCTTACTTGAATCTTGTGATTTCCTAATACCACCATCATAGTTTTAGAGTTGGATAGTTGTATTTTTATTAAAATTGAGGAGCTTACTCTTTGGATGTGTACATCTATTGCATTATTAATTTGTATATAATGTCGTAATTGAGACAACAATGCAATCATTGTTTTTGAATTAAATGATATCTCTTGAGCTAAAAGAACAATAGCAACGCCAACATTTACTATACCATTGCTATTTGTTTTAGGACATTATATATCACGTCACCAATGCCCTTTCTGTCTACAATCCTTATAAGTACTTCTAGAATTATCAATCTTAGTCTTCTATTTTTATTGTGGATGGTGCTTCTTTAAGAATTCTTTTCCTCTTGCATACACTACTTAAGTAGAAAATAGAAAACTAGTCTTCTTCTTTCTTTACATTTCTTCTTCAAAAAGAATAAATTATACAATCTCTTTTGTGATTTCTTTTTTTTACTCAATGCAATCAATTGAATAAGTAGATCTCAAAATTTTAGTAATGTGGTGAGTATAAGAAATATCATGTTTTATTTATCTTTTTCACCATTGGCTTCAATATATTGATTCCTAAGATCAAAAATCTCTCTAAAAAAATCTCCATACATTCTTTATCTATATATTAAAGATTACATAATTTCTTTATTAAAAATATCTCAATAATAATTCTTAAGGACTTATAGATTTTAGCCAATATGTTCTACATTTCCTTTGTAATATTATATTTGCTTATATGAATTAATTGAAAATGCTTAACTTTGAATGCAATCAATGCTTGTACTTTTTCTTTGCTTGATTTCTATTTTAATTTTTCATCAATATTTCTATGGTATTTTAATGTCTTGTCTATATGCATGTAAAGCTTGCAAATATGCATCAAGTGTTTCATAATAAATACCAATATGCCATAGTTTTTTTCATCTAATCAATCAATACAATGGTCCATTAAAGATGCCATTGAAAAATATAATTAATGTAATAACAACAAATAATTATAAGAGAAAAATTAGCAAATAATCTACAAAATGTAATATTTGAAGAATAGAAGTACTAAGCTATATTGGAGCAAAAAAGGCTTGTCTTCACCACCAGCAACAAATGGAATTTAATTAAGTAAAAACCAATATCAATAGAATTGAATTCCAATTCTAGCAGCTTTAGTAATTCTAGCAACTCTAGCAAGTCTTTGGCTTTGGCAATATTCTAGTGGCAATGGAGTTCTGGGATCAAGCAAATCATGTAAGTTTTTATCTACAAAAAACATCTAATTGTATTCAAATTAATATTCATCTACAACATTATTCATCTAAAATGATATTCATCTAAAGCACTCTTCATAATATCTTTTAGAAAAGCTTCCTAGAAGCTTCATAGATACAATTTTGACTTTATACATATTTGTAATTAATTGGTAGGTTTGAAACTTGGTCAACAAGTTAATTACGTGTTACATTTGTTGGTAGTTTGTAGAACAAGCTAACTATGTGGTGCATATATAGAAAACTTGCCTTGCAAGTTTAGTCATATGTCTTACAAAGTCATCACGTATTAGAGGTTCTATAGAACAACCTTACACAGGTCTTAGTTGCATAGTATAGATGGAAAGAAGAGTGAAGCCTTCTTTACTCTTATTAATACTTGTCTAATCCTTAGACTTGTTTCAAGACTTTCTAATCTTGTTGTCTTTGGCAATAGCCATTCTAATTTAATATTATATCATATTTGAGTGATTTTCTAATCTTTTTGAATGACATAAGAATATATTGATCTTTTAATTCTTTGAGGTTCATGTCCTTAATAACTAGGCACCATAATTCAATAATTTATTAGATTTAAGCATTCATGATTCTTTAAAGAGCTACTTAATTTATACATATATATATATATATATATATATATATATATTAAATTTTACTTCTTAATTTTTTCTATAACATATTTTATAAACAAACACAAATAATGATTATATTAATACAAGGTATTTGACTCTTCTTTATTTAAAAATTCTTTCCAACTTCATATTAACTCCTCTTAGAGTGAATAAGAGCTTTTTGAAAAGATAACAAAGAGAGGAATCATTCCTTAAAATCTTTAAATAAAATACCAAAAATACTCTAAAAAATCTACCAAAAAAACCCTGATGAAGATCTTGAAAAGAATCTAGCTCTATTTTTTAATTCTAAAACACACTTCATCTTCATGCTAATTCTTCTTAAAGCGAGTGAGATCTTTTGGAAAAGCTAATAAAAAAAGGAACTACTTCTCAAAATTTTCAAATAAAATACTAAAAATACTTTGAAAAAATTCCTAAAGAATGGCTAGCTATATCTAAAGAGAGAGAGCTCGAGCAAAGGAGAGAGAGGTCCAAAAGTCAACTCAAGTTGATACCACTCCACTTCAGCCCATGTCTCTTTACTTTACCACCATACGACTCTATCTCAAGTCCATATCAAAGCACATATCTTTGGAAAAAAAAAACTATTAATATCTATAATAATCTTTATTTTTTTATATCTTTATTATAAAAAAAATTATAATATTTTATCTTAATTTTACATATTATGCCACTTCTTAACACAACAATGCCTTATATTCTTGTATAATGAGCTTTTTCAAAAAATTTAAGCCTCTAAATCTTTTTTTCAACTTTTTAAATTTTTTATACTTTAAAAAAAGTCAATTCTTTCAATAAAATCAAATTCTCTAATCTATTTAGAAATTCTTGCAAAGTCTCAAATTTTCAAATATATAGCTTCTCCAAGCATGTTAAGCTACCAAATTCTTTCAAAAACTTTTTCAACTTCCTATATTTTGAGAAATCTAATTCTTCTAATGAAACCAATTCTTCAATCTACTTGGAAAGTCTTCCAAAGCTTCATATTTATGTATATTTAGCTTCTCTATAGGTGTTAAGTATCCAATTCTATTTAATATCACCTTCAACCTATTATATTTAGTAATTTTTAATTCTTTCAAAAAATTAGTTTTATCCATCTTTATGTAAATTCTTCTAGTAACAAATAATTTTCAAGATGAAAGAAAATCAAAAGTGTCATGATATACAACTTATTTATCAATTATTTTATATTTATATAATTGATTAGATATAAACTTATTAATGGTAATAATTTATATCTATCATTTGAAAAAAATTCAAAAAGCTATAGTTGTGAAGATGAATTGCATGCATTTGACTAATAGCCTTATGTTTGGTAAATGTTTCAAAACCTATCAATAGTGTCTTTTTGAGTTTTAATTATATAGTCTTCATTTAAAAAGTACATGACCAAACATCAAAGTTTTGATGTTTGTTCTACAGGAGTTGAAATAAGTTGCAAGAAAGAGGATCTATAAAAAAAAATTTAAGAACATGTCATCAAATATTAAAAGACTTGAAAGAAGAGATTAATGGAAGAAATTCATATGCACCTTGTATTTGTGTAAAAAATATACAAGGACTTTTGTTCAATAAAAAATAGGGTGGAATAACAAGCATATGGAGCATCAACTTCAACAAGCAAGCGAGCACAAAAGTTCCTAAGCATGTCAATAAGCTTTGATATAAGAAAAACAATTTTTCTATGATAGTTGAGAGCAAGATGACATAAGTAATTTTCACCTAATATTTGAATTTATTTCACAATGTACATTGGTTTTTTTCATAATAGAGTAGAAGATAGAGGTATGGATAGAGTGATGTTAAAAAAGACTAATGGTAGTACATATTAAAAGAAAGAATTTTAGTAAATATTCTCTTGAAGAATGGATATTAAAAAAAAAATTATTACAAAACAAATCATATATATATATATATATATATATTTTAAAATTTATGATATATATATAATATTTATATTTTTAATATTTCTTTAAATAATGGTTGTAATACAAAAAAGATAATAAGAACTTTATAATAGTGTCTAAGACTTTTATAGATTTTATACTCTAAAACATAAAATATAGAAAAAAGGATTTATCTCTTCTTATTCTAAAATGCAAAGAATCATCTTGTCTAGAAATAAAAGCATAAACATATTAATTACAAACGTAGGCAATGACTAAAGGTTGTATATACAAAGAATTTATTGTTGTTTTTATGATGTATATATGACAATAGAGCACTCATTTTTCTTTAAAATGCATATGTTTAAATATATATATATATATATATATATGATGAAACTATAAAAGTCAGAATATTTAGAAGCAGTTCCATAGAGAATTGATGTTTTATTGAGTAGTACAATGGAATTAAAGGACAGAAAAAAACCACTCCATTGATGAAGTTGCATCACCATCCATCCGACGCTCTTGGCAAGTAGTGGGATCTCGTCGAATCATCCTAAGTTGGTAGCAAATTCTCCCGCCGATTAGGGCTCGGCTGCCCCATCTCAACCAAAACAAACCACGGACGGATTCATCTCGCAAGGAGGGAGGGAGTATGGTGCGGCAGATTAGACTCTTTCCGCAAAGTATGTTTGTCCAAGGATGGAGTAGTTTAGATTCCCGGCCAGGCTGCATTCCCGACGTCGCACACCTGATTCGGACGATGTGGTACGAGTCAGGTGTGCATCGTACCGGTCCACGATGCACCATACTTGTGGATTAATTAGTTAATTACCTGTGATATTGAATGTGGATTAAATTGCTCTGCGCGTTGCTCTGAATTCATAGCACGAGCTCCGGCGCTGCTCGGCCCTGGCCATCTCGCCACGAGCTTCTCGAATTCCAGCTCGATAAGTTCTGCCACGCTGCTGTAATTGTTGGAATTCGATATAAATACAACCATCGTCCAGGGTCAGGACGAAAAGTAGACGAATCGTCGGAAATGAGACGAATGGGAGCGTTCGTTCGTCGTAGCGGTGAATAGGGGAGAGTGTCCACATGCCTGCCATGAAGGAGGGAGGGGGTCCTCGAGTCGTCGTCGGCGTTCACAGCAGGAAATTTCAATTCATAAGCTCTCGTCGCGTAGACGTGGAGGCGAATTTGCACGCCGTGGCCTTCGTCACCGTCGGATCGAGGTTCGTGCGCCGCTTTTTACTTTTGTTTTTTTTCTCTGGCGATGGACGTGGTTGGAAAGCGCAGGTGATTTCTGTGAGGGATCGGTGTGAGGGAAGGTTACAAGTTTGATTTCTCGCGAAGAGGATTTTTGCATTTTGGCAGGGAGAAAGGAATATTGGATTTGGTTTATGGAGACTCTGCGAGCCGTGCATCATGTGGTTGGCCTGAAGGCCGGCGGTGCGGGTGCATCCCGATTTGTGGTCATGGGGTGCAATTCGGCTCAGTTTTGGGGGTTAAGGAGTGTCGCGCATGGGGTTTCGGGAAATTTGAGGCACGAGCGGGCGGTGTGGAAGAGGATCGGCGAGGTGCGGAGGGTTAAGAGGAGGGGTGCATTTTATGCGGCGTACGAGAGCTCGAGCGGTGGGAATAGTCATGTCGAAGATGGAGGCAACGGCGGGGGTAACGGTACGAGCGAATATCTGGAAGCCCAGGTTATGGACGCTGTGAGCATGGTTCCATTTCATGGCAAGTTGCTCATGACACTAGGAAACGGGAGAGAGATGGAGGTTGATCACATCAATCCTGCCAAGGGTCGATTGCTTTACAAATCCAGCACACCGACGATCTTCTTGAAGGTCACGGATGGGTCGAATTTGATGTTGCCAATTGTAGTGGGCGAGGCGGCTGTGAGTATGCTCATGAGGGCGTTGCACGATGATGAACATGTCGGTCGGCCAAATTACTACGCTCTCATGCGTGATATGGTGGAGACTCTGCGTTATGAGCCGAGAATGGTTAGGATAACCGATAGAGTTGTAGACACTTACTACGCCAGGATCTATATGGGCAAGCCTGGTGAGGATGACATTGTGAGCGTGGATGCAAGGCCGTCGGATGCAATCAACTACGCGGTACGTTGCAAGATTCCGATTTATGTGAATAGCAGCATCATTAAGGCGGATGCTGTGCGGCCTGTGACGGAGGTTGAGCTCACTAAGAGGATAGAGCTCTATTTACCGAGGAAAAGAAACCTTATTTTGAGAGAACCTTTTTCTTCGTATCAACCAGATGTTTTCCAAGATGAGATGGCTATGGTGGTCTGCATGCTCGTTGCTGCTCAGCAGGAGCGCTATGCTGATGCAATTCGATGGAGAGACGAACTTGCGAGACTTCGTGCAGATTTCAAGGGAAAGCTGCAGCGATTTTAATTGTCTATTTGGAGCAAGCCTACGGGAGGCTAATTCTTGCTAATATTTGCTCTCATGTATAGAACTTCCAGTTTGATTTACATATAGATCTTGTCATGTTAGGATAATTCGTGTGAATAATGTGAAACGAAAGGCGACAGAAAACCTAAACCAATTTTCTTGTAATATACGTCAATTCGAAAACTGCTAGCTTCTCGTGCTCTGATTCCCTTGTTTGTTTCACATACATGATGATCACCTGCGAACTTCGTTGACAGCTTCCTCATATTGTTTAATTGTGGAATGCTTTCTTCTATCACCTCTTGGTGTTGGGGCTTCTGCTGTGCAGATTCTACATCCGGTACCCAGTAGACATTTTTGTCTAGCATCCAAGTAGATACTTGCTGCAATTTCTAGCTCGTTCCAACATTCCCTGTTGCAACAGAAGACCCAATCGATCTTATTTTTCAGCGAAGTAGAGTTTGTGAGCATGGAACTTCTCAGACTCATCTCTCGCTCTTTTTTCCCCATTTTGTTTATTCCTACTAGGCTTTCACGTAACCCTAGTTTGTTCTGGATATAATAATTGAAGAATTTGCGGCATTTGTTGTTTTTCCTTGCATCTCCTTGTAGCCTTACGGCTGTAAGTGGACTGTGTCGTTGAGTTGGAAACAAAAACATGTTTTGCATGCATGGTGTAGGTACAAATGTATTTTTTATACAATCTAAAGTCAATATACAAAACATGTTACTTGCAAAACATTATTCTCTTTGATATTTCCTAAAATATATTATCAATTAATAGAAACTTTGAATTGCTGATTTTGAGAAAAAGAAAATCATACAAAGTGAACATTCATACAAAGAAATTTCCTTGGTAAATACAAACACATTTCTTAATGTTGAAATTGCTCAAAATCGAAATTTTTGTGTGGGTTATTTACTGGAGTCTCTAGATTTTGGTTTTGTTTAAAACAATTATCACTATATCTCATCTAAACTACAACATTAACCAAATACCTTATATAAAACCATCTAGTAAGTATGTTTTTTATTTTATTTTTATTTTGTGCTATGAGAGCTTTTTAGTACAACCTACTAAATTAGGTGATATACTTTGTTAGTATTGCTACTACAAATTAAAAAAATCAGGATAAATCAATGTAAGGAATTATTTCTTGATAGTTTGAAATATATTCTTGACAGAATTTTGCTAAGTCTTATTCTAAATCATTAGAATAACAATTTTTGGATTGAAATATTAGAAATGATTAAATTATTGGTTAAATATTTATGAATAAAATAATATAAAAAATAATTTATTTTTATTACAAATAGTAAGAATTTTTAATAGAAAACGTTTCTAAGATCTTTATTTTTTATATATTACCATAAAAAATTCTTACACATTATTTTTTACTACCTTCTTCAAAGTTCTTTCTGTACATGGAAATTTTTGTAGAAACAATCTCAAACAACTTATGCACTTGCAACACCACAACTTTTTGTAATTGTTTTCTTTTAAGAAAAAAATGGTAATTTTTTAGATCATAAAACACCTATGATACTACTTAGTCACATTAATATTACATATAAAAATTAGAATATAAAAACCTACAAATTACTTTTAAATAAATATTTATATTATAATATTAAAAAAATATTGTATACAATATTTTAAGAATTCTTATATACAAAAATAATGTATTCTTTTAAATTCAAAAAAATATAAAAAGACATAAAAACCACCTTATTATAAAATATAATAAAATAAAGAAAATTGAATCATATTTTCATATAGTTTAAAACTATTTATAAATTAAAAATCATTATAATTCATACTAAAGTAATCTATAAATATTTTTTTATATATAAATTTGAAAATCAAATATTAAAAAAAATCACTAAAATTATCTATTTTTATTCATTTAAAAATACTAAAAAATCATGTTTATATTATCATATTTTAATTTTAATATATATATTATCATATTATTGCATATAGATTCAAGTCAATTAAAAGTTATTTTGTATTTAATTAGTCATCTTTTGGCTGATTTAATAGCCAAAAATGTTTATTAAAATATAATATAATAAAATTATAAAGCATTTAATTATTTTGAGATGAGGTTTGAAACATGCTATGAGAATTTTTATTTTAAAAAATTTATACCTCTATTAATCTAAAAATAAGCTAATTAGAAAAACCATTTTTTTTGTTTTAGATTAATTTTAAATTTAAAAAAGCATACAATATATCTAAAAAAAAAATCAAGTTTTAACTAATCAATGTCTCTACTTAATATTTTGCAATTTAAGATTTATATTGAAGCATCTCTAATTTAACTCAAATTCATGGATTTGAATTAATTAGTAGAGATACTAATTCATTCATATAGACCTTACGACAAGAAAATATATATTCAAACTTGCTGTGACTTTGAAATAAAAACAATTAAATTTAAAAAATAAAAATAAAAAATATATCACAAAATATTTGATAATGCTTGAGGATGTTCTAAAGGCTAACAACATTTTTTGACAAACATTTGAATTCGTAAAAAAAACTTATTGAATAAGTCTCAAATAATCAAAAAAAATTATTTGTTATTTTTACAAAAAAAACCTTTTGGTAAGTACATATCTACCATTTCAACAAAAAACTTAGTCAAAGTTCAAAAGATGGCATATTTTTATAATTAAAACTTTGCACCTTTAAGTATAATTATTGATAAACTAAAATAATATTAAAAATAAGAATAATTGCAAATAAAAATCAAAGAAAATAAATAAAAACATCAATTTAGTACTTTAAAATTTTAAAATTTTAAAAATATTATTAAAAAGAAGAAAAAAATGGATAAAATAAATAATATAATATGAGGATCTTAGAATAAAAAGATGAACTACTTTGCTAAGTTGTTGTAATAAAGTACCTTAAAATAGTAGTAGCACTAAAACACCACAACTAAATTATAAAACTATATTTGACAACATGCTACAAATTTCATATGCAACCACTATTGCACTTTTAAATATATTATTTGCATAAAGAAGATTAAAAGCATATAGAAGTATGTGGCAATTGTGATACATCATGTACTAAAAATATATAAATTTATCTTCTCTAATAAAATAATATATATATATATATATATATATATATATATATAATATCTAAAGTAAATCTTTAGAAAATACTAAGTTTGGTCCTCCTTTGTCTTTGATTTTAAGGTTATCTTCTTAAAATAATCTTTAATCTATTGCCAAGGCAAAAATATTTAAAACTTATCCAACTTTATCTCTACTAAAAACACCAAGTAAATAAATAATAATGTAGTGTAAGAATAAAAATTATTAGTTTTAGAACATAAACATTAAAAAAAATAAGAAGAAAATATTATGAGTCCAAAAATATAACAAAATAAAATTAGATAAGTACTTATAATGTAATTTAATGAATGAAAGTATTTTTGGAAAGAAGAAATTATGATATGATATTTAAAAAATAAATTACTTCTAATGTGTTAATTTTAATAGAAATATCTTTTTATCAAAAGAAAAACAAAATAAAATCGTAATCAATAAAAAATAATATTATAATGATACTTTCTATGTTATAAATACATTTTTAATTTAGGTTTTTTCATTAAAATTTCACAACATTTTTTTGAAAAATCTTCTTTAATAAAGAGTTTATATTTTTATATTTTTTTTCTTATTTTCCTATATCTAGCCAATTTCAAACATACTTAAAAAATATATATATATCTAACAAACTTTGTAAGTTTGAATAATACTTCATTAAGCTTCTTGTTGACATACAAAAACTTAAGGCTTAGGCTATGAACACACTCTAAATTGCCATATGCACACCTATTATGTCTATACACACACCCAAGACCTCAAATTGGTTGTTTTTGATCCCCTCTTCATTAGCTTAACATAGGTCCTAGTCTTCTCTTTTCCATCTTCCTTGTCTTGGTATAGGTCCTAGTTCCATGCTCTCCTTCATTGTTTTGGCAATATAACTAGGAAGTTGGCGAAGATGTCCAAAACCCACACCAAGACAAGAGGAGGAGACTACGACTTGCCTTGGGACAAGAAAGAGGGGGTTTAGAACAACTAATCAAAAACCTTATGTATGTGTAGACATAATGGGTGTACATATGATAATTTAGGTTGTGCTTGTAGTTCAAGCCAAACTTAATTTTTATATGTAGATCCTCTACATTTTCATATTCTATAACATTAAAGTGATTTCTATTCTTATAAACTATTTCAAGGGAAATATAATTAATTAGACAATATAAACTTACAATTATTTACATGAAAAATTCTGCATCATTTAATTATTTTTTTTCAATTTATGTGTTTTATTTATTTGAGTCACTCCACAACATTACAAAGTTCTTACTAATGTTGTGAAGTTTTCAGCTTTCCACCAATCAAATTCTCGCAGTTCTTTAATACGACTCCTTTTCTCATGTCCCCAACGGCAACCCTTAATACAGACATTTTCGATATTTGTAAAAGTTAGGCAAGTGATGTAATCAGAAAGAACAGGTACTTGTCAGAAAAAATAAAGAGGAAAAGTTAGCATTTGCATTGCAGATTGAGGCAATCTCCCAACTTGAATTCTACAAAGGCCACTGAAAAAAGTTCAATGATAATCAATACTTCACTGCCAAGCAAAGGAAGGCACTTCATAGAGAGGACAACAGTAAAAAAAACACTCCGAGCACGTTTATTTACGTTTCCATAATTTACAATTGACCTCTGCTTTCAAGCACATAGCAGCTTCCCAGCCAATCCTGCAATCAGTAGGTAGCTGTCTGAAACTTCTACAGAGTTGGAACCTGCTCACATTCACCTATCAGAATCCGAGTATCCACTCTCAAAGAAAGAGAAAAGACATCAGTAAGATATTAATCCTGCAAAAATTGGTTGAGAAATCCCAAGGACTTGCAAAAACACAAGCTGTCTGAATCACTGATTCGCACCACACTATCTATTGAGTACAGTTGGAGATTATCTGGAGCAAGAGGATGAGTTAAGAATAAAATCCTTCACTGCTGCTCTAGATTACCCTAGTATAAAAGAGAGCTTCGATTTCGATGACCCGTTGCTAATCTTGAAGCTTCACACCGGAGAATTCATCAGAGATGTCCTTCGCTGAAGCCATTTGGGATAAGTGAAGGTAGTGATGTATTCCAGAGAACTTCTCTTGAATCCTCTCCACCTATCAAACAAAAAAAAAAAACTCTTCGTACATTGTAAGATATATTAAGGAGGTGTAAGTCGATCCAGAGATATCAAACAAAATGCTAAAGCTAAAGCTTGTACCTGCAAAGTTTAGTCAAGGAGAACAACTACTCTGCAGTTACCATATTATTACACGGAAACTTCAAGCATACACGTCGCGCAACAAAGACAATCACATGACGTCAACATACCCGACTAAGCTCAAGCTCCAAGTCTTGCTTCTGTTGAAAGAAGGTGCGACGTACGTGTGCAACATCGAAAACATGGTCGATGTCTCGCTCAAAGGCAATTTCAAGGTCTTCCCGAAGCATTGATGGGAAGGTGTCCACCACGGGCATTAAGAAGAAGCAATTAAACTGTACAGAACCAGAAAGCCGTTTCACGTTCATCATATCAGCATTTCGGTGTTTTAGATCATTATGTTGAGCATAAAAGTCCAATAGCAACAGTAAGACAACATTATGAACTTTCAAAGATCCATTTCATGCATATAATCACTACAAAGCAATCGTATACTGAAGGACAAGCTTGGAACATACTTTCATTTCAGCAGAAGCGACACAATGGTCGCGGATTCCTTCAAAAATTTGAGACACAAGTGCATTTACAATCTCTTCAGATGTGGGTGCAAGGCGGCGATTCCACAGTGTGCTCTCCAGTAGGTCAACAAGCCGGGCTTGCGGTGATTGACTGCTGCTCAAAGACTCCCCCCTTTCCAGCCGATTCTTATTGTCTTGTTTGTTGCTATTTCCAGTTGCTGGTGCTGGTCCATCAGCAACTGTAGGCATAGCTGTTGGAACAATTGCTGGGATTGGTGATAACTCATTTGTTGAGCTGAGTGTGCTTAGATACTGACGAAGCCCAGACTGATTCTGCGCTCAATAGTAAGAAACATGAACCAACCTGAGAAGTCCTCACTAGAAATGGGGTATGGAAAATAATATTATAATCTTCAAACACTAACGTCACTTATACTTATTGGATCAATGCAGCGAAAGGTAACTTGGATAAAAATGTGAGTGGCATAAGACACACAAATGGACTGAAATACAATCAACATAGACGAACAAAATGAGTGATTCGGAAGAGAAAGTCTCTGCATAAGCAGATACATGAAAAATATTACCTTATTATGAAGTGACCAAGTGACATACCGCGTGGTGCTCATTAGATCCTCCATACATCTGCCACAATTGAAAATCATGAAAAAACAAAGAAAGGAGAGACATTCATTAGCAGGAAAATATATTAGATACAGTCATCAACCAAGTCGTCTGCATGACTATATTTATATGAGCTTTTGAACTAACTTCTGCGTTCAACACTTCACTACAAACATACAGTTAAACATGATAATTCCATATTAAATAAAAAGTAACAAAATAAAAATGAAAACAGGAAACCCCGCACACCCACTCTAGCTCGAAGTAATTTGACACTTGCTGCTTACTTTTCTCGGCAACTTCGTTCAGTGTTCTCCACAAAGATATAGAAAGCATTTGCAACATGCTTCAAAAACATGTCGTGACCACTAAGGAACTCTCGATCCTTCTGCAGTACATCTCGATAGAGGGTTAAGAAACAAGGCGCTTCTCCATTCTGATAATTCATCGAGACACTACAATAATACAAGTTTCCAACTTCCAAGCTGAGAGTAGTAGATTTTTGAAAAGAAATACTCATCAAAAAGGGAAAATAAGGACTCCATAGACAATACACTTTTTCATCCCATAGAAAATAATACTTAGCTTTAATTTTTCTGAAATGATGTCGAAGTTCCAATCAATCAAATATGGTATAATAGCAAGGCAATATTAGAACATTCACTATCCCTACAGGGCCTAAACCTTGAGCCTAATAAATATCATGGCAACAATTGAAATAGCAATGAAATTGACCTGGAGAAGGAAGAATGAGATTGGCAGAAGTCTTCGAATGATGTGCGAGAGTCTAGTTCCCAACTACGTCAGACGCAGAGCCAAATAGTCAATCCATCTACTCCTGAGCTCAACCTAAAAGAAATTCTCCATTCGATTCTATCATGTGACTAGATCCGATAAAAGACTAACTTTCATACACTTTAGTTAAGAAATTATTGGAAACTAAGTTTGGTTCCATAATTAGTCTATCTAATGGAATAAAATAAACAAGACATTGTAACTCAACAAGTAACAAAACTCAAAATGAAAAATAAAGAAAAGAGCCGTTTTGATGTTGTGTGAATCACATTGAAATTGATGCGAGGTCCAGGATCAGAAAACTCACTTGATGCAGAAATGGCTCAAAAACATCCCTTGCTTTCGCAACTGCTATCACGCATGCTGTTCTGATTCAACTCCCACCTTCCTCTCAGGACTCTAAACGGTGAATTCACGATCTTTCTACTTACAACCATCTTAAGCCAAGGTACGTGGTTGAACCCAATGCTTGCCCAAGTCCTACTCAATTAATATTGAAAGCATGATCAAACAAATATTTATGTGTTGACAATAATCACATCCAGATTGCAAATTTAGCAGGAAAAAGAATTAAAGGTAAGTCTTGAGAGCAGGAAAAACAGACGATAAAATCATCTGAAACCTCACATACTAGCGAAAAAAATTGAGACACACCTGAAGTAATTGGTGCCGTCATGGATGTCTTCAACCCCGCAGGCATTTACAATCTCTTCACGACTTATAACAGGACACTTAACATTTCCAACAACAAACCGAAATTCTGCCATAGCACGGTGATATTGTGCCCCTCCATACAGTCGCATATTTGCATTCTGAACCACATATAGGATACATAAACACGTAGCATATTTAACAACCCAAACAGCTCTGCACACCTCCTACATGATCTGAGGAAATCAAAAAATTCACCATATTGTACTGCAATGTGGAAAAAGGTTCACATACTGCATTCGGGAATGATAACATTGAAATGAAGGTGCGGGACACCTTACCGGCATATGCTTGTATGGCATTTGCACACCATCCATAGCCACAAATGCTCCAGCATGAACACGCTCATCTTGGAGAGACTCTCCTGCAGATCTCATATTTGGAGGCAGTAAGTTCGTATAAATCCAAGACGTAGGTAAGAAGACTCTTAATATGCCACCGACATCCGAATATATTATACAAATGTGGGACCAATTATTTTTGTAAATGAGTATAGGTTACACTTTCAGATTTCCACAAACATTCATACTCAGTGAAACGTGCTTACCAAACTTGTCAACTGGAGCAACAACTGTTCCTCGAAGCAACAGAGATAGCTGGCCAGACAAAGAAATTCACTTATTAGAACGCGTACGCTAGGTGACCAAGCTGTGTTTCACCAACTGATGATGTACGTGTTGCGCCATTCTGAACAGAAACATTGTCCAAACAATTGAAACACAATAATCCTGCAGATGCTAACATGATCTTTCAAAGCTTACATTCAATATTCATCACTAACTTCGAATGAGCCCCCTAAAACGCTCTCGACACACACGAGCAACGACAGGGGATGCAAGGCAAGATCCACATTGGTGACCAAAAAATTTCTAATCTGACACATCATCAGATGCTGTGACATTGTTTTATAACTTAGAGACCGTTTTCTGACAAGAGTCAACGTTCAGGTGTAAGAAGAAACCTTGGAGAGGAAAGAGTCTCGAAAAATACGGCCCCTCTCTTTGAGTTTCACGTGGTCCAGATTGCTGCACGAAAAAACAGTGAGAAAAATCATCTGAGCACGGACACAAACGGACAAACAATATGAGAACTTCTAACACGTATAAATAACCCAGTGGAATGGAATTAAGGTCTAGATCTCAAGCAAGTGCTGAAAGGAGGGCTAACTCTATTCCAAATTAGAAGTTTCCCTCAACCCTGCAAGGGTCCTCCGCCACTTGCTAATGACATTGTATGCATAGTAGCTGTAAAATGTCAGTATCATATATTTAAGAACATCTATAGTAGGAAAACATCTTTCCAACAGTAATTTGTACACTGTACTCGCCAATGAGAAGCTAGTAACTATTTAAATGCATCATCAAAGAGCATGTATAGTAAAGGCCTTCCAATTATCAAGCTTAACGCAATAGGGACTGGAGAAAAACAGCCAATCAGAAGCAATACCAAAGTAAGAAAATACCTAAGCTCATGTACAATCTGATGCAGTTTAAGAGATGTGGTCCGGTATTCTCTATCCAGGAGTGCAACAATACTCGGCACGCTGTCCATATACCTTCACTCACATAGGACAACCCGTATATGTAAATAAGCTAATGCAAACTGGACAGCACCAGAACGTAATTTAGTCTGCTACAAAAGATATCAGAGTCTGCATAATCAAAGAATGAGTAGTTTTGAGAGAGCTTCTCAGAAAGAACATGATCGCTCGAAAAACTTCCAGAGGGAGCGTAGACTCGAACGTGCTTTAAACGTCACTGAATTGAAAAATAACATTTTGTGCCTTTAGAGGTCGAAAAATTCAACTGATTTCTAATAGCGCCTGATCCATTTCGTTCAGAAGACAAAACCAACTCAGAGTGTAAGGACATCACATGCGGTTCACTCCTGCCTATTCTCATTGGCATGAACTTACTGCCGCTGAAGTAACTGCTCAAGGAACAATCTCAAACGGCTAACTCCAATATGGGCCTGCTCTTCCTTCGTCAATTGACGGTCCAACTTTTCTTCTAATACAGCGATGTCCTTTGCCTCTTGTAAAGCTATTGCCTGAAATATATTGAACCCCACGAAAAATAAATACATGTTTGAGGTAGAGAAAAGAAATGACCTTCTGACTCAGGAGAAAATGAGCACAAAGTCCAGCATAAAATACCGACATACGTAATTACCTCGCGAAAATGATCATTTGAGCGGTAGATGCAATCACGACTAGTACCAACTCGTCCTGAAGGAACAGAAGTGAAAAAAGGAGATCCACTTAAGATATTGCCATCCAACAATCGCGAGGAAGGTCGCAAGAAAAGCTCCACATCCGCGCGGCATGCAAATTGCGGAATGCGTGTATCTAGCTTTGTTGATACAATAACAGTTCGACAAAGTTCTGGATCTACCTGCAGGTAAAAATAACACAAAACATTTGTCATACGAATGCCAACCCACCGCATCGTAGTATAGCTTTATCAATGCACACAAAAACCTTTCATAAATCAAGCCATCAACTTTTCATTGTAGTCCAAACCACTTAGTAAGCTTGGAGAAGCCTCAATTGATGAAAATAACATGGAACTCGTCTAATTAAAGCCAGAGGAGTAGCTAAACTTAAATGCCATGATGGCCATCATTGTAAGTTTGGACATCAACAAAGGAGAATTGTGCATAAGTATCTCCTCTACTAGGTGTGACAGTATGAACAGCCTAGCAACATTACATGGATTGAAGTATACTGCAGCATACCTGCATGACAATGCTCCGTGTTGTGGCATTGCTCCAATCACTTGAATCTTCAAGACACAAAATTATAAACTCCTTGTGCTGCAACTTTGTGCGCACCAGAGACTCCACAGCCCGGGCTTGCGACTGCTCCAGCAAATCAACCAAGGTCAAACAATAATACTCCACTTAATGAAGATTCTGGGTCCATGTCGTGCATAGAGGACAAAAGAGAGGCAACAGAGGATGTGACATGCAATACAGAGAAGACTTCTAATTACCTGAAGGGACTGATTCTTTCGGCCTGGGGCTGCAGACATTAGGCCAGGAGTGTCAATGATGGTCAAATTTGGGCAAAACTTGAACTCAATCTTAAGTATAATTTCTTTCTCCCAGAACTGGCAAACGTCACGCTCAAGCCGCAAATTCTCCGCTTCTATGTACGCCTGAAGCACCTCAAAACTAGATCAATTCTCATTTTAAATTTTCTTAAATTGAAGATAGACATGTTTTCGTTGAAATCGTAGGTAAATTATAAGCTAAGGACAAGGATGTTGCAATCAACACGGCTGCAAACTTGAGCCCTACCTGCAGCTCCTCTAGACTCTTTTCCTCCTCCCGGGGTGGTCGGTCCTCAGTAATCAAGTAACATCGAGGCTCATTGCACGCTGGATTGTACTTCATATGCAAGGTAATGGGCCGGCGAGTCTTTGTACCTCCACCAACGTGGTTGAATTGGAACCCCATGAGAGCTTCCACTAAGGCGCTCTTACCTGCCAAATCAAGCACCTAAAACTAAGATCGAAGCTTGCAAAGAATTTTGAGTTGCTACTCTCAAGCAGCAAGCAAAATACGTTGCAATTGTCAGGAAAAACTTCTTACCATCCGTCTGATGTCCAACAACAACAATCGCCGGGGCATCGAACGGTTTGTGAGAATCTTGAGCCAAACTATGCAATTCATTGTACGCCTCGTACAGCTTGTCGTTGCAGGCCTCGTAGAGCGTGTCATTGCCACGTGAAGGATAACTGTTTCCTGCAAAGATGCCATGCACGGCGGTCTTCAAGCTATCCTTCGGCTCTACACGATAATTTTGGTGGTGCTTGGTGGAACCACTCGGAGGATTCATGATCCCGGTTATTTTTGATTTGGTTGACTTCTGGGTCAAATTTAGCCCAATTTGACTTGAGGATTGAAAGCTGTATTGAGGTGACAGCATTCGTGATATAGGAAATGTGCTCGGAGACGAGTTGTGTGTACCAAATCCAGTGCCAAAACCTGAAAATTAAAAAAATGGCAAATTATACTGTTATAATACTTCATAATACGCAAATATTTGCTTTTAGTTTCATATACCAAACTAATGTAATAGTGAAAAAAATTCCATTTGATCACATTTGCAAATGGAATTACATCGAATAATCACGAATTTTCATATTATTTTCACACTGATATTTTCTAGGCAAATATCTTAGCAAAAACCAAATTGCACACTGACTCACATTGAACAACTCTAACTAGGTTATTGAAATGCGAGTATCAATTCAAGAACACGGGATTGGAAAACTGACTTGGGGATATCGACCCGCTGTGGATGTTTGAAGAAAAAGACTGCAGATATGGACCTGCAAAATTGGACAAGGATCCCATAGATGAGGACTCTCCTGCAGAAGAGGAAGTATAGGGAGATCCAGTGGGAATGGGTGACTGCATTTGTCCCAATGGATCTAAGGACGTAGGTGGTGGTATCTTGTTAGCCCACGACGAAGATGATAACTTAGGCGAGTTCTCCACAGAGGAAGATTTTGCGGAGCTGCTCTGCGAGAAGGTTGCAGTTGTGCTAGCCTGGGAGGTGATCCATCTTTCCGCTACACCAGCTCTATTTTCCTTCGGAGGGGTGTGAGGCATGTCGCCAACTACTACGGCGTCCATGTCGAACTCTCGGAAGAGCATAGGTGATCAGTTTCAGCCTGATCTGGCAGACACATAGATATGGAGTGAGTGATCGGAGCCAGACGTAAGGCACGCAAACCCAATTCCTGTTAACACTGGTTGTACAAGTTGAATACTGCGGTTGACTTCAAACACTCTAAATAGCCTTAAAAAATTTGAAGCTGTTCTCATGTTATGACAACAGAGGAACTACTAAGATCGATCAAATCGGAAAGCAAGTGAAACTAGTGATGTAGAGGCTGGCATATGCTTCCGACTGCACCAAGTGCGAAGACACTCCAGCGATTGCACAAAAACAAAAACCATGAAGGTTTAGTTAAAAGTTTCTAAAAACTCAACACTGATTCGCATCGAATTTAGAGGAACCAAAACTGAATGGCGCATTAGGCAAGTAAACTTGTATCATGAATGAAGCACTCTCCTAACCAAGTACAATTACTCTTACAGCAACCTGAGATAGGAAGAAGAGGCAATTCACGAAAGAAGTTCGTAAGCGATGACTTGTATAACCGAATAAGGTTCTGCTGCTTTCTTTGATCAGCCTCATTATGCAAGCGGAATCTTAAAATGAGAGAGGGGGATTGAGAGTTAGCAAAAAAATTAAAGGTATAAAAGGTGTTGTCTGCTTCTGAGGTCAGGGGCACTGGCCGCGGAGGGGAACAAAACCCAAGAAATTTTGGAAAAAAACTTGAGGACATTCAAGTCGAAAAACCTAAAGAAAAGCTCTACTCCAAAATCAAAAATGGAACCAAGCGACCCAAAGAAGGAGAAACAGCAGCTAGACGAGGCCAGTGATGGAAAGCTGATGAGAGTGAGGAGCGTGGAAGGCGACATTGAGGGAAGTGCAAGGGGGATGCACAGAAGAAAAGGAAGCATTAGCATCACTTCCGGGAGCAGATCATGAACCACCTAAATCCCACGTTTCTTCAAAATCCCTAACCTCATCAAATGCTTGCAGCTTATCAGTGTACACAATTGCCAACATAAATCAAGATCCAACCCCCACCCACCTTGAGGCAGACCCGTAATGCCGCTCCAGAGCGATCCGAGAGTAGATCAACCCGGCATGAACTTCTCGCTGCCACGTTAAGGACACAAACTTCATTCCCGGAGTGCCTCTCAGAAGAGGACTTTTCCTTCGACTGATCCACGAACCCGATCTCTCCCGAAACCTAAAAGATACAATACTGGCGTAAAGAGGCAACCACCAAGCCACCCTCAGTCGCCAAAATCCCAACCCATCAAATCCGAATCGAGCGGTTGATTAAGCAATAGGTGCAGCGGGGTGCGAGAAGACAACAAAGCCCCGCGTCTGGGAGGTGTGCCAAATTCGTAGATGAAAACACCCCTCAACAAAGTTTTTAGAATCCGAAATCTACTTTGCATCTATAGAATGCAGCTTCGCCCGCCAACACACACAGCCCATTCAACACGAAGGTGGCAGTGGTCAGTGCCCAGTGTACTCTTGTTCCATATTTGGCGTTGAATGCTCCATGCCGAGGCCTTCCGGAATCCAACTGGCCCAATGGCAACACAGCTGGATTCACGGTCATCACTACACCCTGTAGCGAAGTGCTGGGGAACTGAATACGAGTCTTAAGGAGAATCTGAAACAAACCTAAGCTCTGTTATAAGACACTTTTTGCAACTGGCATGTGTGTGTTCATCGGCGCGCACGATAGGGGTAGGATTTCGTCAAAAGGCAGAGATTGTAGTACCCGCGGAGGATTCCTGTACTTGTTGGAGAACCGTCGCAAATGCCACTCATAGAGCTTCACAAAATGCTCTGAAAACGATACACAGAGAATGCTCTTCACATTTCAGGAAAAGGTGTGTGAGGGGTGTAGATGATTCAAAAGAGCGATGGACGATGCAGCTCAACAGCATGGATGTCTAGAACTGCGAAGGGTATCGGTGATACAAAACGATAGTGGACGATGCAGCTCAACAACATAGGGCATCGAAGCCACAGTCACAGCTACGAAGGGGCTACAAAGCTGGGGAAATCGTTACTCGCTGGGTATCTTTTCTGACATCGCCAAATAGGTTATATTCGGGACGCCCTGATGTACCTGATATAAGTTAAGAACAATTTGACCATATGCCCTCCTCCCGACTTATGACCACCGCTAAGGTCGCTCATGGACCGTAACTTTTCGGACCACAATTCTGCTACACATGTCAACAGTAACTAGTCAAGATGGACTTGGTCACTTAAACTTGTTGTCAGTGAGGATGTTTGCAGCGTCCTCTTGTAATCAGCTCTCCAGTTTTTATGCCTCAGATATTTCCTTCCCAAATCTAGATCCTTCCCCTCCAGCTTGGGCCATCCTTCTATTTTCTCGGCAGGGGGCAAATTGCCGAGCCACTGAGCTTGTGAACACTCGAATCATTCACCCTTTGTAAACCTCATCTCCTGAATCAACAACGATGACAAAACAATAGAACATAATGATTGTAGAACAGTTAACACTTGCAAACTATCTATAGACATTAAAGGACAATGGTGTGTGTACTAAAGACTGTGGACAAGTAGGCAAGTGCAGACACTTAAAGGATAAAGGACGATCCCCATCTATATATATATATATATATGGAAGCTTTCAAGTGTTAGTATAAAACAAGAGTGTTACTTTTGACATATTTGATTTATGTTTTAATAGGTTTCTTATTAATAGTGTTCAAAATATATTGCAAAAGAATTCAATAAGGGAGGCCATTTCTTTAAACTATAGTTACAATCCAATATAAGATTGTCGTGGAAATGTCAAATTGTTGTAGTGCACAAAGAAGTTTTGATTTTGTGCTTGTCCATCAAGTTCAATCTTATTCTGTTCTATTATTCTAATATATTGGTTTATTATTGTTGATTTAGTGGCTAATTGTTGTTAAATCTAGCTTGTTATAATGATGTGATATAATATTTTGATGTTGTTGCTCCCATTGATACTTTCTACTATTGTCGCTATTGTTATCTCTTATTTTATTTTATCTAAATTCATTCTTGCTTAAGCTTATGTCACTTGTAATTGTAATGTTCATTTTGGCATTCTTGTTGTTGTGCCTTTATCATAACTTAACATAGTTAGTATCAATCACAATATTCTGAATCTCCTTTGTCAATATAAATTTGAAGGATCCATCACTTAATTGATAAAATCTATGTTATTCTATCAAGGACAAGAACTCGATGAAAAAACAATTCAGACAAGTGAGCCTTCACTCAAAGAGAGGTAACAAAATATATATAAACAAGTATATATATTAAAAGAGAAACTGGAATGGCTATTGCCAAAAGACAAGAAAACTAGAGACCCTTGAAACTAGACTAGAAGCAAGAAAGGAGTTGACAAGAGTGAAGAAGCCTTCATTCTTGTCTCTATATATACTATCTAACTAGGGGCTACGTGGCGACGTTCTATAGGACCTCTAATATGTATTGACTTTGTAGGACACATGCCTTGACTTACAAGGTAACTTTTTCTACGTGTGGGCCACATAGTTAGCTTGATCTTCAAGCTAACAACATGTGTGGCACATGGCCAACTTGTTGACCACGTTTTTAATCCAAAAAGTCAATTAAAGACACCTATGAAATCAAAGCAGTATCTAGGAAGTTTCTAGGAAGCTTCTATATTAAATATTATAGAATTAACTTACTTTTATCTACTTTTACTTACTTCTACCTATTTCTATATGTAATTATTAGCTTACATGATTATGGCCGTGACATTACCCCTCCTTCTAGGGACGAGTTCCACGAGGAGCGATCATCATATGTTGAGAAAATCTATGATGTGACGAATTGTATTCACTACATACTCTGATCTTTGTTCTCTTCGAAGATGATTGATAGGGCCTCTCAACCATCAGTAGTGTCCCATACCAGGGCGGGAAGACCATCCAGTTATTTGATCATTGTTGAGGCCTTCGTAACTTCCTTCGAATAGAATATTTGGAACACCATCAGGAGTTGTTCCTACCTTTAGCACAATCACCAAACATTGGGAGTCCCTTCCCAAATCGTGATACCAAACGCGTTGTATCTTACCATCTATTCGAGGAAGAATGTGTCGTTCTTGAAGATCTTCATCTCGATTGCGTTGTCTTGAAGGTTGTGACAATCATAATGTCTCGTCCAGTAGGTCAGCAAATGAAGGCTCTTGAGTTGAATCCGCTGGTTGTTGGTTCTCCATCTCTTGAGCGCCACTACTACAACGAAGCTACGAACAAGAATTGAAAGTAGAATGTTATCTTGCCTAGATGTTGTTTCTTTTATAAAAAAGGTTTTCATCTTGATTTTGATGGATGTCGTCGATGAAAAGCCTCCACCGCCTTTGCTACATTTGCAAGATTTTTTATTGGCTCCCATGTGCGTTAACTAATACCATATCCGCGCCAATGGACAAGATATTCTAATTTATTTCGGCGTCGCCTTGAATCTAAGACTTCTTCTACTTTAAACTCTTCATTATTGTCCACTTCTATAGGAGAAGGTGGAGTTTGTCATCTTCTTGGTATGTCCACTGTCATGTATGGTTCAAGAAGAGACACATGGAATACTGGATGGATTTTCATTGACTCTAGTAGATGTAAACGATATGTAACTGGATTGATTTGTGTAGAAATAGAAAATGGTCCCAGCCTTCGATAGTCCAACTTGTCACAAGGACGAGTGGTCTTGATATTGCGACGAAGTAGCCATACCTTATCACCCAAGACGAATGATGGTTGTTCCTTTCAATAGACATCCGCATTGGCCTTTTGTTGTTCTTGAGCCTCTTTTAACTGTGCCTTCATCGTTGCATGTAGCTCTGATAAATGAATTGCCAAATCTTTTGTAGCAGGATTATCAACTTTTGAAAAGTCAAAAATATGAAGTCGTGGATAATAACCATAATTAGCAAAGAAAGGTGTTTGTTTTGTAGAAGAGTGTACCGTGTTATTGTAAGCAAACTCTGCCAATGGCAAAAGAGTTGTCCAATCATCTTGTTGGTAATTAATGGTACATCTTAAATATTGCTCCAAAACTTGATTAACATGCTCCATTTGTCCATCAATTTGAGGATGGAATGCCGAAGATAGTTTTATATCCACTTTAAGAATCTTGAAAAGAGTCCGCCAAAATCTTGATACAAATTGACTTCCCCTATCTGATATAATATCCTTGGATAATCCATGATAGCGATAGATATTGTCAAGAAAGAGCTTAGCTGTTTCTTTACCTGTGATAGATTTTGTACATGGTACAAAATGTGCCATCTTAGTAAAACGATCTACTATCACGAATATAGAGTCATAAGAACCGGAGATTGGAAGATCCGCGATGAAGTCCATAGAAACAGAAGACCATGGTTGTTTTGGAATGGGTAATGGCTGAAGAAGTCCAAAAGGTCGATGACGAGGAGTTTTTGATCTTGAGCAAACATCACATGATTGTACAAAATCTTTAACTGCCTTCCACATTTGAGGCCACCAAAAATCCCTAGATATCAGCTCCAAAGTCTTATTATATCCAAAATATTCTACTGCTGGGAAGTCGTGACGAGCTTGAAGAACACGTAAACGTTGTCGTATTACGTGCTTTCTTGCTCGAGAATGCGCCGGGCGTCTAGTTGTAGAAGGTAGTATGGAGATTCGTCGATAGTCAAGCAATCTATCAGTTTTTGACTGCTGGAATATAAACGACTGCAACAATGTATCGTAAATCTATACGGGTGCTCTTCGACTGCTTGTCGAAGTCTTTTTTGCCCCAGCCGGTAGGTCTCTTGACGTTACAGAGAACCCCGTACAACCCAAACTGTTAACCTTCAATACTGCTTTGTACTTACGATCTTTTATCCACTGACTGTCTTGTTAGATTAACCCAATAAATTTCATTCACTCCGCATACTCAATCCTATAGGCACCCTTTTAATCCTTCAATCACAAACGTAACTCGATTTCACAAAACAGTCAAGAGTATTCAAACCCACTTCATTTAAAAATCCCGATTCACCATTACAATATTGACTTCAGCAGCGATTGCCTCAGTCTTCCCCAAAACTCTACGAAGAAGAAAAATCCAAATTCTATGTCTTTCCTTCCCCGACCCGAAGCATGAAGCTCCTCTCTCTAATTCCCTTGATCTTCAAAAACCTCCAATAAAAAAAACCCCGAACTGGTAATCTTGCAGAAGCTTGAAAAAAACTCGCTCCCCCCCGATTCCCCTCAAAAAAAACCTCCACCAAAACTATATCCCACCTAACTTTATCCTCTGAATTTCTTCAATCTTCCGTCTTAGATCTGGATTTGGCTCCCACCTCAAGCTTGGATCTGAAATTGGCTCTCGCCGTCAAGCTTTCTCCTCCGTTTTTGCCTTTAAAAAATCCATTTACCGAAAACAACGTTCCCTGAGACGGCATAGAGAACAGGACAGCCTGAAACAGAATCAAACCCCGTAATCGGGACCACATTGAGTCGCCCGACCAGTTTAGGTCCTATATTGGGAAAGATGCCCGTAGTAACCTGGATGTTCCCGTAATTGGGTCAAATTGGTCCTCGCGTTAGATTAGCTAAGATCCGTAGTAAGACCTGGATTTTCCGTAACTGGGTCAAATTGGTCCTCGCGTCAGATTGGCTAAGACCCGTAGTAAGACCTGGATTTCCCGAAACTAGACTGCATTGGGTTGCCCCACCAATACAGGTCTCATATTGGGTAAGAGGACCCGGATTGGATTATCGAAATTGGATCCAATTGGCTCCTCGAACCCGTCGTGTGAATTGGTCCTTCTCTTCCTGCTGACTCCCGTTATTGGAATCGAATGGAGCATTTCAGTATGCCCCGGCTGACTGTAACGGAGTGACTGAACCTGACCACTCAGTATTTGTACTCGAGTTGATCGATGCTCCCAATATTCAAGGTAACTGAATATTAATAAAATTCCCCTTTCTTTTTATTTTCACTGTATACTCGTGTTACAACACGACAACGTGCTTCTCCTTCTGGAACATATAGGCATCCTTCAAAATAGAGTAGGTTGTT